GGGACTCGGTTGCGGCGCGACCAATCCTCGATGTTGATACTGAGACAGAGAGGCTGCCGCGGGTGGAGAAGGATCCGGCGGCAAAACCGTTTTCCAACGTCGTCGGTGATTGCCAGAGCTGGAGTGAGGCATGTACGTGTTGTTCATCCGCGGCTCACGACTCACTCTAGGTACCGGGGCCGGCGCACCAGGCGGCACTTCCGAGATATTGGAATGAGAAGGATTCACCGTTGGGTGGACATTATTCGCTGAATAACGACAGAAAAATATATTACTCTTTAGGAATAAAAAAGAATTTATAGAAAGTATAAAAAATGACTAAAATCTAACCTGGATGTGAACTAGGCTGAGTTGTCAACGGAATAGCGAGTCTAGCATTCACAGCCAATAAATGGTCTCTCCTCTGCAGGAGATTATTTACATGTTCCTCTAGCCTAAGGTTCTCAGCTCTCAACTGATGTAGGCAGGAAAGCAGGGATGCAACTGCAACAAATTTCGATAACGTTGCCGATTTAGTCTATCTAAGTGTACATCGGTCGTACGTTTATGTCAGAGGCCAAAGCACATACATCGAAAATAATAAATTTCAAAGTAAAAAATTGGTATCAAAGAGAAACAGTTTTATTACAGTGTAAAAATGTAAAGCCGCAGCATGCAGATTTCTATCCGACATTACTGTAAAATGGTAAAACTTTTTTTTTTTATTATCAAACCCATGCGATTATAAGCATGTTTTTTCTTGCCGTACACTCACTGTCAAAGTGCTGGGCTTGCTCCATTAGAAATTGACTTCCCTGTTCCCACTGTCTCTCTAAAAGTTGATCCAGCGTCTGTGGGATGGCTCCTCCACCCAAAGCTCCGCTGGCACCGGCCGCACCAGGATTCGCACTACTGCTGCTCGTAGAGAAAACCGAGGAGAATGAAGTGGGCGGTGCACCACCCGGTTGGCTAGATCGTATCTATTTTATAAAAAATATATCAAATATAATAGGCAATTAACGAAATTTTACCAATTTAACCCTGAACTTTAATGAAGCAATTCGATTCACATCACGTACAGATGCAATTACTCGATTGTGCAGCTGCGGTCCGACTAAGTTCATATTGGAGTTACTTGCTTCTGTAAAAATGGAATGAGCCTCCAGTTCTTGCGAAAGCGTGTCCGACATCTTCTGCGCCATTGTAGAAGTAGGATTCAGCTGATTCCCCAGCATATGCGGCGCGCTGACACCATTTTGAAATCTAAACGAAAATATTTCATGCGTCACACTGCATTTATGCATATATCATAAAGATATGTCGTCATCGCACTCGCATGCAAATCTTACAATTTCACATTATTCTCCTCCTTTATCGTAGCAGATAGAGCGGTTGGTGTTGTCGATGCAGACGGCGTAGGTGTAGACGCAACAGTCTTTCTCTTTCGTTTCCCCGCAGTACTACTCATACTTTCCGATCCAGGGCTGCTAGGCGGTGACTCCTTGACAACGGGTCCCATAATGCCTGGGCCGCTGACGCTGCTAAAGTGTCCGGCCGTGACTGATGTGGGACCTTGAATTATTGACGGTATTGGAGCCACCGTGGCTGCTGGTGGAGGGGTTTGATGATTGTTTCTCGCGCCTCTCTTTGATGTTGACACTGCCGTACTAGATACAGAGGTTACAACTGAAGAAGCTATCGTCTGTGACAATGCCGATTGGCTGTTAGACGAGCCACGCTTTGGTTTGCGTTTTTCTTGCTTATCCGACGATTGGGATCTGAAAAATAACAGATCATTCAACTGTAGTAAAATAGAGTTACACCAACTTTCTCTTCAATGTCTTCTTTATTAATGTGGAACAATGCAAAATTAATCACTTTAGGAACATTTAGATATATATATATACAGATACAAGATAATTAAAATTAATAATTAATAAATAGATAATGATAAATAAATAATGATAAATAGATAATGATTATGGCAATAATGACAAAAAATATTTTTACATTACTAGTATTAAAATCAGTAATTATATTAATAAAAAAAGAAATAAGTTTGAAACAAGTCATTATCTAATAGCACAAATAACAATTAAAAACAACGCACTCTCAGGATTGTTACAGCGGAACGTTATTTACAACGTCACGTTACACCTTTCCGTCGTTCATTGCCCTTGAGGCGCCTCGCCAAAGAAAAACCAGACATAACCTTAATCTCCCTTAATCGCCTCAACCCGCACGTAGAAATGAACGAAATCACGAGATCACTCGACACCCACGATGTTCCTTCTCCCCTTTGTGGTTCTACAATTAAATCGCGATACACGATTATTATACAATTGTCCCGTGGCTCAATTATTATGCAGCGAATGACCTCGAGTGAACTATTGTACTCAATACACAGGCTGACTACTGTTATGAACACACTTCTTCATGTTTTATCACACTAGGAACTCGCCGTTGCGCGATACACCAACGTTCACTTCCGATAGAAGTTCGAACGTCCAGTACTAGAATGCATGTATTGCAGCGGCCACGTCCCGATGCTTCACTCGTTACACTTCGCGACTTTGATCAGACGAATATTAGATGAAAACAAACACCCACAAACACTTAACTCTAGAAAGAGGTTAGAACGAGCCACCTTGTTTACCACTCATGATCGCCATTTTGAATGCGACACGAACAACTCTTCAAGTTGTATAAGTCTCCAACTTTTTTTGGAGCAATTGCATTTCTATTAACTTGATGTGCACTTAATAGTATATTATTATCGTTTATGTGCTTTTGTGAAACTTTCTTTTGTAAATACATATCATTGGATACATTTTAATTTATAAATTTAATAAATTATTTTTATATTTTTTCTGTTTTTCACATTTATATTGTAATTTAATTAAACAATAATTTATGAAATATAATTTATCTGCTGCAAAGCTCTTGCCTTATGGCAAATTTACTCAGTAAAGTTTAAAAATATATATAACATATTACACCAATTATGTAAATTCATGTAATTATATTAAAATTAATTCATATACCAAATTTGCAATTTTATATTTGTACACACCTGTTGTCATTTTAAAGATAATTTTTTATTGCGAATAATCTTTCTTAACTAATTTAAGGACGTTTTTGTCGCAAAAACTTACCGAGATCGTTTCGCAGGCGTTCTCTCCGCGATGAACCTCTCGGTGTTCGACATCGCACTTAATCTTGGCTCAGTATTGGCGGCAGTGGTAATTATGCCCTGCTGTATTTGCTGATACAGCGTTGGTGCACTTGTCACCACGCTCTGAACTGTGCTAGGAAGCGAGGTGGCGGTCAGTGGCACGGACACGACGATGCTATTCGATGTAGTCGTCGGCGACTGAGTGACGACCGAAGATTGGGGTTGTGTCACTGTCATTATCACAGGTGTAGTGGTTGCTTCCGTGGCGACTGGCGTACTCGACGCCGACTGAATCGGACTGTCGACTTTCATCTGCAATCAGATTCGAAAAAAATAAAATATATTGAATCATAAGTTTGAAATCTAATCCAAGATTATTGATTTTATCAAGCCACATTTTATTTCTGCAATTTTGACAAACAATTAATCCACTTAGAACCGAATACTAAAATAAAAATTCAATAAATAATGCCCTAGAAAAAACAATCACATTCATATACTATATACATTAGATTTTTAAGAAGCTTGCTATGGTAAAATATATCAATGCTTACTTACGACAGAAGTTCACATATTAAAGTAATCAAAGTGATGTCTCGATATCTTATCTGTTATATTACTTTTTTATTTTCCTATCTCTTAGAGAAATATTTGATTTTGTGAAAATGACTGTTTTTGAGCATATTTGAAAATTAAATATAAAAATTAAATGTAAATATTTATCAGATTATTCTAGAGATATATTTGAGAAATACATAAAGATAAATTTTATTGATTCAAAGCAAACTATCCCTTGAAAATAATAACATATAAAAAGTCTTACCTTTTTCGACTTTTCCGGTTCCGTCGTTGTGCTTAAACTAGTAGCTTCTGTGATCGTCGGCTGCACACTGTTGCTCGAAACAGTTTGTTGCACCACGGAGCTAATGGTCATCACGACCGATCCACTGGCTTCCGAGCTAGCCGATTGATTCGAATTTTCATTTCCTACCGTCGGCGTGCGCGCTCCAGTCTTCCTCTTTTTACTGGTATGACTCGACGTCTTGTTAGAGGTCGACGAGTTGGACTTTCCTTGTCCTCCGATGTTCTTGTGCGCCGCATTGGAATTGCTACCGCTCGTCTTCATTGTGGGAGTAGTCGCTACTGTAGCGGCGGTGGTAACAGTGCTGTTGCCGTCGTGTCCAAAAACACTCTCCGACTGTGTGACAATAGTCTCAACAAAGTTAGAAGTCGTAAACTTGCTGGAACTCGTGGAATTATCTTTGGGTGTATTACGGCCGCTACTACCACTCTTGTCATCCACAATACCGTTTATTTCTAAACTGGGACTAGCATTGGATTTACTTTTAGAATTTGTTGTGGTCTTAGAACTCGAGCTCTTCCGCTTGCCGCTGGACGACTTTATCGGCGTTTCC